ACAACTACATAGAACTAACACTGGAGCTATCTTACTAGACCTGAGAAATGAACTGCTTAATGAGTAGCTACTGTGTGCTCAGCAACATATCCATGCGCCTGCACTGAATCCGCACGTGGACTCCAAGCTGGAGGACAGAACAGGGGACGGCCAGGCTTACAGAAGGCAGGCAGACCAGCTTTGAATCCTAGCTCTGTTCCTTCCAAGTGGGGTGGCCTTGGGCAAACCTTGCAACCTCTCTGGGACTTTAATATTCTGGCCCCAATTCTTAGCCATTAGAATCGCCAAGTTGTTGTATTGTTTAATGCCAGCACTGACACTCTGAGTTACGACCTCTTACTTGTCTGGGCCCCACCCTAGCAGGCTGCACGCTCTGTGGGGACGAGGCTGTCCACGACCTCTCCCCTGTGTTCCCAGCACCTTCCAGGAGGACCAAGGCACAGGTGGGTCCGTTCATGGCACCAGTGTCTATCAAACAACAGGTAACATGGCAGGCATCTCGCCGCGCTGAAGCTGGGACCTAGGTGGCGTAGCATGTCTCCAGCTCAGAGCAGCTTCTTCTGAGAGCACACAGTGCTCGTGTGGCCCTGGGAAGGTCCTGCGTGCCAGCCTCCGTGACAAGGTCGTGAGGCATGCGCGGAGGGTCCAGAGGGGCGGGGGAGAAGGACCTGTGTGGACGCTGTCCTTGGGGGAGATGGTAATGCCAGCGCTGCTGGGACGTCACCTGTTGGAAATAGGTGTTGGAAATAGGAGGGGCCGGGAGTCCTTCCTTACATTAATGAACACTTATTATAAACAGAAATTTTTGCTGAGGTCTGCGCATAGGAAGTAGGCCGGAGCCTTCAGGAAGGGAAGCACCAGCTCAGTCACAGCTGGACAAAAAATGGGAGACGGGTTTCTTCCTCCTGAACAGCCTATGACAACAGCTCTGGCCAGGGTCCCCCAGGCAAAAGGCAGGGTGACCTCAGCCTACTCAGGAAGTCTCAGATGACCCGATGTTTTATTTTTAGCTATTTTTGTACAGGACCCAGAAACCTTTGGACGCTGGGCTTGTCTCCAAAATGAAGCAAGTAGTAAGCAGGAGCAAAAGGGCCAGCTCCTCCCCTGAACCGTCCATCTGCCCATGCAGGGGCCCCTGGTGTCTCTCTAAACTGTCAGATGTGACCCACAGAACCCTGTCCTTTGTAAAGAGCCAGGGAACTGGGGCAGCAGGCTCTCATTCTTGGCCCGATACTTACTCACTGTGTGGCCTTGGGCAAGTCCCTTCCCTTCTCCAAACCTCAGTTTCTTCACCCACGAAATAAGGGAAGGCGGACTGGATGGCTTATGAGGACTCGCACGGCTCCAGCAAGCCATGTCTCTCCCTGGGTGCCAATGCTGGCCTTGGGCATGGGACACATGGAAGAGAAGCCCAGTCTTCAGGCTAATGCTTCACTGGCTCATCTGATTTCAGTGTTTCTCTTAAAAGCATCATTTAGGAAAAGCTGCAACTAACAATCACTGAACGCCTACTATGTGCTAAGCGATCTCATTAACCACTTTTTATAACTAGCCTGTAAAACAATTGTCATTGTCCCCACATCGCAGGTGACAGGCATAACAGCACACCTATCCACAACACGGGCAAGCAGTTACCAATACTCAGAGTTCATCCCAGTCTTCTGCTTCCTACTGGAGGGTCCTTGAGCAAGCTGCTTAATCCTTCCAAGCGTCAGTTTCCACTGAATGAATGACAGCACCCACCTCATGGGTTGTCCCAAGGCCTAAACGGAATAGGCGTGTGAAGCACAAAGGAGGCACTCAATAAATGTTACCTGTCACTGCCAACTGTGACCACATCCCTGCTGAACTACCACTTCTATCAGAGGTGAGGAGGGGCTCAAAAGGACAGCACTCAAGAAACCACAGCGTTCTGAATCTTAGCCACGAGTCCAAGGAGGGGTGAGGAGGGAGAAGCTCTGGGGTCGGCAAGGAGGTGCCAGGCCACGCACCCTCTCCCAGCCTCAGGTTCTCCATCTACAAAATAGGGGCAATAACTCCCCAGCTTGTGAGGATTTTATATGCTAATTTAGGTAGAAAACCTTCAGCAATGTGCCAAGTGAGTAGAAGGTAGTAGATACAAGCTTGCTCTCTAGTCTTCCCCATAAACCTCTTTTAAAATCTCCAAGATCATAGCCCATAGCTATCTGCCCTTCCTTGAACCCAGTTCCTGCACTAGAATCCTCTAACACTCGGGCCCAACAGCCCAGCCATTGGCAAATGGCCCCAGCACGGGACTGAGCTTCCTCCTGAGGGCTTTGCTATGGCCCACGTCCTGAGCCCAAGTGATCCAGGTCATACATGGGCCTGGAGGACCCAAGCATGTCCATGCACAACACCTTGTCCAAGTAGCCCTCCTGCAGCCACGCACGGCCACCACCCCACCATGCCCCACTGGCCTCTGTGTCATTCCCAAGAAGTGGTAATCAGAGTAGAAGTAATAGTAATGCCAGCCATGATGCCGCCTTCCTTCTCTTCGTGGTTCACAAAGAACTTTCACATATTATCTGGGTAGGGTGGAGGCTATCTTCAGATATCCACTGGATAATTCTAGGTATAAAGTAGATACTCAGAAACAACTTCTTAATGAATACATTTTATCTTTTTAAGAAGATTTTTTAAAATCACCATGTATTCACCATTTACTATTAGTTACACTCTCTGCTAAGCTCTGACCATCTTGCATTCCATCCTCACAACCACCCCAAGGGTGAGCACACTTACCAATCATATCTTACAGAGGAAGAAACTGAGGCTTACAGAAGTTGAGCAATGTACCCAAGGTCACTGCCAGAGAGTGACAGACCTGAGATTTGAATCCTGGTCCCTACCTCCTCCAGTCCTTCTTCTTTTCCTTAGCCAGAAGAGACTGCAAAGAGGGGAACAGTGTGTATGTAGTCTGAAGAAGTATATCAATAATGCAACATTTTTAAACTTGGGAAAACAGAAAAATCTTATTGTCTTTATGATACAAACTAGAGAAAGCAAAGATCAGCAAAATCACCTTGGCTGAAGGGACATGAGAGTCTCTGTTCTAATTTCTATGGTCCCCCTGGCACCTTTATGACTGTTTTTAGTACACTCCAGCTTTCTTATCACCTGTAGCATAGTGTTTCTTGATCTCCTTTCTATGTTCTCCTAACTTCCCTCCCGTAGATGCACCCACTTGAAACATTTTAGTAGTTTCCTCTTCATCCTACTCACCACTGTGGGAGCTGAGGGGAACATCTTTTGTAAAAGGGCCCAGAGTTGTTAAGTTCCTGTTTCCTTGGAGACTCTTTTTTTCTTTTCTTTTCTTTTTTTTTTTTGAGGCACAGTCTCACTCTCTTGCTCGGGATAGAGTGCTATGGCGTCAGCCTAGCTCACAGCAACCTCAAACTCCTGGGCTCAAGCGATCCTCCTGCCTCAGCCTCCCAAGTAGCTGGGACTACAGGTATGCACCACCATGCCTGGCTAATTTTTTCTATATATTTTTAGTTGGCCAATTAATTTCTTTCTATTTTTAGTAGAGATAGGGTCTAGCTCTTGCTCAGGCTGGTTTCGAACTCCTGATCTTCAGCGATCCGCCTGCCTAGGATTACAGGCGTGAGCCACTGCGTCCGGCCAGAAGGCTTTATATATAGCCCTGCACCACCCAAGAACTTAGAGCAGAGTTTATGAGCAATTGCCTACAATAAGCAGGCAGGCAAGGTGAGATGTAGCCAGGGTGACCTCAGCATAAGAAATGCTTCATTTTCCTATTTTCTATAAGAAAAAAATGAATAGCAGAAATGAGGAGCTACTGGCACTGGCACTCAGCCACAGGATCGGGGCAACAGGGACTGGTAGGACTGTGGCCAACCAGCGTCCCCTGGAAAGAGATGGCTGCTGCTCAGCTTGGCGACACGCTGTTGTGTGGGTACACAATTCCAGGGTTGCCAAATATTCTCACTCTCCAAGGAATGCCAGAATCATTTCTTTTTTCCATGTGAAATCTCCTGATTTATAAATGTTGGCAAATCAATCTCCCCCTCCCCTCTCTCTTTTTTTTTATTTTTATTTTTATTTTTATTTTTTAAGACTAGTCAAGTGCAGTAGTGAGGAGGGGGGAAAGTAGTAGAACAAGGAGTTCAATCTGTAACTGACTGTGAACAATCACGTGAGATAACTCACTACCTTCGGACCAGCCTCCTCTCTCTTTTTTAAGTAAAGCACACAAGTGAGCCGGCTTTGGCTGGAGCCTCACACTTACAACCTCCGCCCTGATCCTTGTGGCACAGACAGTGTGAGCCCCTCGGCTTCCCAGCTGCCCTTGCAGTGAGGTGAGGCCATGCCACCGGCTCTGGCCAACAGCCTGCGAGTGGAAGAGCCGCGCGTCACTTCCAGGCCAAGGCAACTAAAAGCGGGCTGCCTGTTCCTGCTTCCCTTCCCCTGGTGAGGCAGTGGCCCTAGAGGCCACAGGGTACGGGCTGCGCAGCAGGACTACAAGACAGAAGTGGCTGCTCCTGACACAGCGCCCGGTTGTGTGAGAAACACATCCCGGAGATCTCGGGCCCGTCAGCGGAGGCAGCCAGCACTGCCGCCCTTCACACACCTGGAACCATGTCACTTGCACGTGGATCATCACAGTATCCCGGCATCCCAAGTTTTCAAAGGCCTTTAATCCCACTTACCTTGTGTGACTCTCAACTCAGTGAGACAGACAGGGCGAGGCTTTGTCATTTCACAGACAAGAAAACTGAGGCTCCGAAGGCAAAACCGAATCATGCTCACGTGTGCAGCAAATGCATGGTAGAGCTGGGTGGCGCCAACTCTGGGCTCTTGAGTGGACTCCGAGTCCAGTGCTCTCCCTACCTTCCATCCTAAGCACTGGTCTTTACAACATAACCTCCCCACCACTCCCTGGGTCCCTTGTGAGCTTGAACAAGGACAACTCTTGCCCTCCCTGCCCAAGGTTAGTTGCTTGAAGATCTACCTCTTACCTTTCCTGTAGACTTTGTCCCCTTCCATATACAGAAGTAACAGATGGTCCAGGCTGCCAGGAGACACAAGGCCAGCTCCCAGCGGAGGCTCCCAATGTGGTCGATCCCATCAGAGATGGCCAGGACCCGGTGCCTGCAGAAGGCAGTGGGGAGAGTCACTGGGGCTGGGGACAGCCCACCACAGCCCACCTTTGGCAGAGCCAGTGCTACAGAGAAGCAGGGACGGGCCCACGCGTCCATTCACCCTACCCCACAGGCCCATGCGTGTCCTCATGGCCAAACCCTGGGCTGGCTGAGGGGCCTCCGAGAGGAGCAAGACCCACGTCCCTGGACCTTGGATCATGGATTCACTCTCTGGGGGAAAGACGAACACATTATCAGATGTGGTACAAGGACAGCATGGAAAGGGCTCCAATGGCAGGTGCACCTGGCCTGCCTTGGGGACCCCAGGAGACCATATTCCTGTCTATAACCATCTCACCTCCCTCCCGAGGGATACTGGACATCCTATCCTGCTGAACTCGAGGGTGGTGACAGGACCTGCTCCAGCCATTGCTTGGCCAACAATGGGGCGTGTGTCACTTCAGACAGAAGGTTCCAGGACCAGGTGGCATGGGCCTGCATCTTCTCTTCTCTCTACCTCTGCTGGCCTTATGGAGCACATGTCAAGATGGAGTCTCTAGAAGCCTGAGTTCCTGGGTGACTGTGCGAGCCTCCCACCACCGTGTCAGAGATATACCGCGAGCAAGAAATAGACACTGCTGCTTTAAGCCCCTGAGATCTTAGGGGCATTGGCCACAGCCCCATAACCCGGCCTGTCCTGGTCGCTGCGGGGTAGCTTCCTGGGAGGGGCAATATGTGAGCCCAACTTTAAGGGGCGAGTGGCCTTAGCTGGAGAAGAAGGGAGTGGGGACAGCGCTGGGGGCGGGAACAACATGGCAAAGCCCAGGAGACAGAGGCCTGTGCTCAGACCGCCAGCGGCGGGGTGCAAAGTGAGCAGTGGGAGGCGCTGAGGCAGCGCCACAGGGAGCGTGGTGGTCAGGCCCCTGCGCACCTTTGTGACGCCCTGGAAGCTTTGTGGGCGTCGCAGGGGCCCTGGCCGCAGCAGGAGGACCCAGGTGTGCTGAGCCAAGGCCGCCGGCCTCGGCCTTCCCTCAGGGCCCATCAGTCCCTCAGAGCCGACGCAGGCCTGCTCCCAGGGCCCACGCCTGGGGCCTGTGCTTCTTCACAGCCAAGCGTGCCCTCCAGACTCACTCCATGAACCCCATTCCGGCAGCCAAACCACCCCACCAGACCACGCCGGTCGCCTCAGCACCCTGGGGATGGCCTTCGAGAAGGGGCGCCCATCCCGCCAAGCATGAAAGCCACCCCCAGCGTCTGTCTCCCTGGAGCCCCACTTGGGGCCCGATTCTGTCAGTCACCCAATGACACCGATCAGCGCTGGTCTGCAGGCTCCTCCAGCCCCAGCCCAGCCCCAGCCGGAGAAGCCAGGCAGGCCCCAGACAAAATCAGAGCGTGTGAGGCTGTGGATTTGCTTGAGAGGAAACCAGCTCTCAGACCCACGCCAGGAGGGGCGGAATGGCCACTTACATACACATGCATTGAGAACCTACTGTGTTCCAGGCACTGCCTTAGGTCCAGGATAAAAAGGTAAGCATCATATGGCCCTTGGCCTCTGGTAAGATAAGACCAAAAAAAAAAAAAAAGTTTGAGTTATTTGCAAAAGGAGGCAGTTGCTCAGGTATGATAATTGTCACTTTATTTGCCTCTTATGTCTTAGCTTTAATTAATTTTAAAACTACTGACCTTATTAAATAAAACCTTGAAGAGCATCTATTATTACAACAGAGCAGCATGTCCCAGGGCACGGTCCTTAGGACACCTGCCAGAAACACACACGTCTCTGTGCCCCACCCCTCCAGCCCTGGACGCTGAGTCGCAGCCTCTGAAGTGGCTCCGGAGGCTGCATCGCACCGCACTTCCCCAGGGACGTCTTGCACGCAGCGAGGCGTGAGCGCCACAGAAGGAGAGCTTCCTGGCAAGGAGGGATTAACCTACAAAACCCATCTGCATAGCTTTTAATCTTTTTCATTTTGGGGGGGGGACTTGGGGAGAAAGTCATGGATCTTTTGAGAAGTTACCCAAAGGGATGGAGTTGCTCCCCAGAGAGATACCCTCAACTCACAAAATTCTGCAAGAATTTCAGGGTGCCCACAGACTCTCTCATCCCCAGATCAAGAACCTGTGGCTGACATATGCTTACTGCCTTACACATGGCTGCCCAAAGTGTCCCCAACACCCATCAGTTGCTGAGCAAGAAGGGACAGCCCAGAGCTAGAAGAATCCAGGCCACTGCAGACAGAACAACTGAGGCGTCCGCCGCACCAGCCACTCCAGCCACTCCAGGTGCCGAGCTTGTCACTGAGGACACACTGACAAAGGTCCCTAGTGAGCAGGGTGCACAGGCGCAGTCGCACACGAGCCCTCTCGCTGACGACGGAGTTGTTTTCTGAATTGGGAATCTGAAAACTGGAACCCACACAGGGACAGAGGGGAAGCAGGGGCAGGCCCGCCGGGCGCAAGCTGGCTCCCGCCCCGCTCTTCCGCGTTTTGGATGCTGCAGACTTTTGAGTCATGCAGCCTGCTCCAGCACCCTTTCGCTTAATTGAACAATCTAATTCCCAGAATGGGAAGCACATTACTAAAAGCTACAGAGGATGAATTGCTCTTTTGTTCCACCAGACACTATTTGAAAACATCCTCAAACTACTTTCTTTAGGTTTTACCAACGCTGACTTGAACTAGGAATGGACCTTCAGTTTCTAAAGAAAAGGGGCTCGGAGGCCAGGTTCTCAGCATGCAGGGCTGTGGGGTTGTTTTGAAACCCACAAGGACAGCTTTTGAGAGTGTGGGGGCTGGGGCACTCAACTCCGGAGACTAGGAGAAGGCACAGGTCTTCCTGGGAAAAAGGCTTTCTTAATGACCCTCCCCACGAAGCTCTGGACAGAAGAAATGTCTGAATAAGGAAGAGTTTGCTGCCAACACCCCAGCCAAAAAGGACCCAGGAACAGACCTCTCGACACTGTTCGGGAGCGAGAAATGCTGAAGACTAGATGCGGCCCTTTAGAGGAACTCATTCACATGAGTAATACTTATTGTGCACCTACTAGGTACCAGGTCTACAGCAGATTCTTGAAGCACCTTTTTCAGGCCATAGGATAGTATTTCTGGAGCTTTCCTCCTACAGGCTAAAAGCTGAGAGCTTGGAGGGAGGTCCCCAGGCCTTGTGAACCTGTGGCCAAGCCCAGGTCTGCTGCTTACCAGCTGTACCACCTCGCAGAAGCGCTTTCACCTCTCTGAGTCTCAGCTTCCTCATCTGTAAAATGGGAATAATGATACCTACCTTCAATGGCTTTTCAAGCATGAATGCATGCAATCCTCCCACAATCCCCACAATCATCATCACCATTGGAGACGGCGACTTGGAGAGGTCAAGTAGCTTGCCGGAACTCATACCCTGAGCCACAGAGCCGGCACTCATTCCCTGAGCCACAGAGCCGGCACTCACACCCCGAGCCACAGAGCCGGCACTCACACCCCGAGCCACAGAGCCGGCACTCACACCCTGAGCCACAGAGCCGGCACTCACACCCCGAGCCACAGAGCCGGCACTCACACCCCGAGCCACAGAGCCGGAACTCACACCCCGAGCCACAGAGCCGGCACTCACACCCCGAGCCACAGAGCCGGCACTCATACCCTGAGCCACAGAGCCGGAACTCACACCCTGAGCCACAGAGCCGGAACTCACACCCTGAGCCACAGAGCCGGCACTCACACCCTGAGCCACATTTAAGTCCAGGGATCCTAGCTCCGAGCCCACGCGTTCAGCCTCAATGCTAGCTCCTGGATTTCTCCACAACCCTAAAATCACCCACCACTTCCCTCTTTTCTTTACAAATTAAAGCCACAGAAAATGCACTCCTAAAACTATCTTACATGTCTTCATATACCAGGTAAGAGGAGTGTATAGCACATGGCATTTATGCATTTATTCATTTATTCAAGTACTACTTACTAAAGTGTCATAAGTGTGACAGACACCAAGCTAAGCCTGGGGCGCCTTACAGAGCCTGTGGTCTAATGGGAAAGGCAGACAAGGAAACAGACAGTGGAGCATGGGAGGGTAGTGGCAGAGAAAGGCGGGGAAGCTCCTAGGCACAGTAGGGGACCCTTGCTGGGGACCAGGGTCAGTATCAGAGTGTGGGGGTGAGGTGGGTACAAAAGGGTAGGAGGAAATGAGCAAAGGAGAGGGAAGCATTTGGAGCAGAAAGGACATTGAGGGTGAAGCCAGGAGGCGGGAGAGTGCTCAGCGAGGCCCGGGAAGTCCGTGGTGTGCCGGGTCAGTGCAGCCAGCCCAGGTGAGCAGTGGGGCAAGGATGTGGAGGAGCGGGGCCCAGGAGCCAGACTGTGAGACTTGTTGAGTGGCTGGAGCTGCTTCCCGAGAGTGGCAGGAGCCCAGGACAGTCATAAACAGGGGCAAGCCCCTGGCAACTGTATGCTTCAGGAAACTATTTGGCCGAGGTGGGAGAATGGACAGGGCAGCGTGGGGCAGGGCACCCAGTGCAGGGCATTTGGCCGCAGGCATGCAATCAATAGGGAGGGTCTGGAGCGCGGGAGGGCAGTGGACGGTCTGAGGCAGCAGAGGCACAAGGTACTTCCTGGGCTGACCCCAGGTTCACGCCACAGGGGCTAGGGGGCAGGTCATTAGCTGAGCAGGAGTGAGGTGGTGGTCGGGACAGAGGTGGCTGAGCCTTCCATCAGACAAGATGACTTGGAGGTACTTGGGAGACACCAGGTGGCTGCAATGTCCAGAGGCCACCGGGTGTCCTGATGCAAGGCTCAAAAGAGTGATGCAGGAAGGAGAGTCAAACCCAGGCCCTTGGCCTTTGGGATGTCCTGGAAGAGCCGGAGAAGGAAGAGAGGTGGGGCCCGAGACCAAGCCCTGAAACTCCAACAGCTCAAGGCAGAGAGAGGAAGGGAGGAGGCCCTGGAGGAGGCAGAGAAGGAGTGGGCAGAGAGGCGGAGACAGGAGGAAGAAGACCTAAAAGGCCAAGGGAGAGCGAGACCCCA